GAGTAATTTAGCACTCACTTTAATTTAGTATAATACCTGATGAAATTATTTTGGAAATGTATTTTGAAGATTCTAACACCCGTTTTTCTGACTTCACTCATCTTGTTCTTTGTGTGGTTTATTCCGCCCATTTTGCTTTACAGAATTCGGTCAGTATTTCATTACAAATCCAACCGGTCTTTATCAGGTATCGACGATCAGTGTGTTAGTGAATTGTTTTTATAGCTGCTCGTTTTAGCGGCTGGTTTTCTTTCGTCCGACGTATGAAAGAACGTTGGAATTCTGGTTTATGTAAAGTTTGAGCCACCTGACGCCCAGTTCCGCCGGGGTTTTCCGGCCTTACCCTTAATTCTCTCCGTCAAGGCTCTCCTGATCAGTAACCCCGGGCGTTGTTTTGTCTTTCTTTCCACTGTAAACCTCAGACATGCAGAGAGGGACACCTACTGTTCTACACTGAACACCAGTGCCGGCATATAAGGTTATGCCCTGTCCGTGCTAAACTGACCGCACCTGCCAACGACGCAGGGTTCCGAACAGCGGAGACCATCTCAGTGCACAGAGGCGGTTTCAGTACGTTGTATACTTATCTCTAGGTCAACACCATTTTGGTTTTAACAACTTAATATAATTCACACAATTGCAACTTGATATTATTTCCCCGTATTCTGACATCCCAACATAATAAGGTCAATATTCGAATGAAAGCTCATCTGTGTTGGTAGAATACATAGTTTAAGAGTTTGACTTGTTCCAACACAAAGAAGAAACTCACCATAAATTTTCGGCTGATCCCGTCAACCCGTCAACCTTATGGTGAGTTTCTTCTTTGTGTTGGAACAAGTCAAACTCTTAAACTATAATAAGGTCAAGTTTCACATCCGCAGTCAAGCTGAACGCTGTCGAACTATGCTGAATAACGCAACCCTAGAATGGAACAAACTTCGCTAACCTGTTCTACACTGTTTCTTTCAGCTCTACATGACGACAAACACAGCAGTTACTCAAGAATACAATCGAAAAGTGGAACAAAATACCTGGTGAGTGCCTAACCATCCTTATTTCATCATCATGCAATATTGTACATAACCACGATGGTTAGGCAATGTTCGCATATCTATAGTACTTCTTTCATGAAAAGCTGCGTGTTTTGAAATACGGTACCATATTTACTATGATGTCATTGCCGGGAAACAGTGTAGCCTGGGTGCCAGGCCCCTGTGCCACGATACTCAATTCAGTCAGGGAAATCTCACGCCTGGAACACAGAATTTGCAGCTGGGGTCTAATTTATACGTCTAGATAAACTGAAGAAGGAAGCCAGCTCCGAAACTGTGGCGTGTTGGGCAGTATAGAGGCCTGGTCAAGAGTCTCAGAAAGAAGAAGCACTTTCTTTATTCCAAGCAAGGACTTAAGCTCCTTGTTCTAAGTGCTGGGGTCTGGCACGCAGGCTATTCATAATTACCTGGCAGCAAAATCCCATACGGCATGTATACTTCATGATGTCGCAATTTTCATTGCCAGAAAATGTGTTATATATATGTGTCTGCTTCATTGCATTCTGTAAAATTAATCGACTCACATGCTTTGCATACCCTAAATCTTGTTAATTTAAATTAATCAAAGCTGGCCAAAGTTGGCATAGATTCATTTATGCTCTTTTCTCTCTTTATACCCACAGGTAAACTTCGCCATGTCCACCCTGAGATGCAGACTACAGCAGGAGTTCACTGGCTAGCATGAAACCTTAGCATGAAACCTAGTCGTGGAAGGATTGGGGTGTGCATTCATGTTTTGCAGCCAAGAAAATTGAAAAACAAGCATGGAATGCAACAGCATCATGAAAGCGAAGAAAATAATAAATAAAAAAGCAAGACTGACACAAACATACATGATAGAAAACACACAAGTGAATAAAATTCCTTACACAAAACATCACTGTTACACTACATGTGTCACACAGTAAAGTTATAAAAAACGACCAGCATCATATAGTTGCAACTAAAAACATATTTGAAGCATATGCTGCTCCTGAGCAAGAAATTTGTGCTCTCTTGATAGAAGAAAACATATTTGAAATATCAATAAAGACAATCATTAATATTCTGTGTGCAAAAAGCCACATTTTGCCCGGTAACATAAGCCTTTCCTGCTTGTTCCGATGACCACAAGGCCGGAGGCTATCTGAAAACCAATTCCCTAGGGAATGCATTCATGCAATTTTTGAAATTCTTTCAAAAGCGATCGCAGTACTTACACAAATGCCTCCGCCCCTGAGGCGTCGCCAAAAAAGACAAAAATGTAAAGAAATGAATTCGAAGGGTAGATTATTCGCCATAATATATTCTGTGCCATTTGTTCAACCTTCATGACCACGTAGATTTCATAGTGAAAGCTAACTTTTTTTTTTGCAAAACTTTTTTTTTATTCGCACGCGCGCATCAGTTTTGGGGTTCCCAGAGGATGTCATCCATATAATCAAATCAACATGGCCTAAGTTTGAAAAACAATGTAATTTCTGTACACTGTCAGAATCGTTGCATTTTACATACATGGAATATATAAATGCAATGTGTATTATCTACACTTTTTGACAGATAATACACAATGTGATGCAAGGAGACTTTTGCATTGCCAATGGGGTTTAATTTTATCTTTCCCACAAAGAATGCTGATATGGCTACATTTATTTTATTAGATTCCAGTCTCTTAAAAGAGTCAGTAACAATCATAACTGTGAACTCTTGTCCAGAAAATAGATACATCCGGGGAAGAAGTAGCACCGACCCCCATTCAGGAAGACGAGGAATATCTGGTGCAGGAAGCAAAGGTTAGTAGTATTGAGTACTTAAAGATACTAAACAGGACGTGATGAAGTGTGGTTTTATTCTTTGCTATGAGATTTGAACCGAAGGCAGTCACGTGTGCATATATAAGAAGACAAGATGTAAACTAGAACTGATATAGGACATGGGGATTTTCTTCTTAGACAACCGTCTTGATGGCTGTCAGACATCTTCCTCTGTGCTTCTGATTGGAGCACTGCTTCTCGCCACTATATGTAGCCAATGAAGGTGGCGCTTTTGCGCAATTGCGGAGGGAACACAATCCCAAAGGTGGCAAAATTTGTATCCCCCTCGTCCCGGCTCATCACTGATACAATTCAGAAATGCTGTTGTGAAATTGAATTCCAGGAATTAGGAAGTGCAACAAGCATGAAACCACGAGCCACGGGGCCACCAGATGACCAGGAACTGCTGAAGGCTCGTCAACAACGTTTCCTGGAACTTAGCTTGCGTTCGGCGCTGCTCGAGCTCTCATTCTTCACCATTTACGTCTTCATCCTTATTTTGGTTGCCAATGGAAACAAGGACTTCTACATGTACCACATGACCACCAATGCTGAAAATGTGTTCACTGGTCCTTTCAGTAAGGTAAACATTGCCAATCATTAAAAAAATAAATAAAAACAAAAACAAAAATGCCAATTTATTTCTATACATTTCCCATTATCCGCAATTATCAACGCTCAGTTTGCTAAATAAATGTTTATTTCAATTCGCCAGATCACAAATCGTGAAAAATTCTGGAGCTTCATGAGAAGCACACTCGTGTCTGAGCTGTATTCATCAGAGTGGTATAACGGAAAGGCCATAGACTCCGACAAGCTGGGCTTTCTTTCGGACTACAACTCCTACATCGTCGGTCCCGCCAGACTTAGGCAGCTGCGTGTCAAACGAAGTAAGTCCCGATAAGGTTGTGATATACGGCAATAACGTTATACCCAATGTATAATGTTTCCTTAGCTACAATGGTTGAACGACAATTTGGCATGAATGACAACAGGATTGCTCAAAAGATTTCACCACAGCCACACTACTTCATTCCTTTGAAGCAAATGTCACTAGAAGGTGGACTAAATGGACAATTAGGGTTCGGACTACCTGGTCAATGTGTGCTTTTATGGTCTAAATCTCAAGTACGTGATTTTGGACTGAAGGCTACCTTCTATATAAAGCGCTCTTAGACTAGCAGTCTTTTAAGTTTCTTATACCTTTACCGTCATTATCGATTGCTACAGGCGGCACCTGTCAGATTCCGGGTGCCATGACTAGGGTGTCACCCACGTGCCACGGTGAATACAGCTGGTGGAACAATGACGACGGACACTACACACTAGGATGGAAGGAGTGGACCGCGTCATCAAACGGCAGCGTGAACGTCGCCAATGTGTCTTCTGAGCTGAGGCCTTGGGTGTATCAGTCGACAAGCCTTACAAGTAAGTAAACATATGTTTATTCATTATCTTATTCGCAATGTTTTACGGGTGATGTAATTTTGAATACCCTTTACGTTGGGTTTTGATAGCGTCAACGACACCTGTTTTCCTATCAAGTATACAAATCATTAATATGAATAATGGGCACATTTATAATCCAAATATTGATTGGAAAGATTGAATTGTACCGGAAATTACGAGCTTTTTTGAGATGTAACACTTCCACCCTCCCATGCATTAGAAAAACAATTTTCTTATAGATCCATATATTGCCTCCCTGTCACTTTATGGCGTATTGTCGATCCAAAAAGTAATCACTAGATATAGTGCACTAAGAAAGATCATCGATCAGCGATCTATATTTTTGTTTCTTTTCAGCTGCAACGCCACATTATGGTTTACACGGAATGTACTATGGCGGAGGTTACATCCTGGAACTTCAGTCGAACAATTCTAATGCCAACCTACAAATGGTCGATGGTCTGGAGAGAGGACAATGGATAGACTCTGCCACTCGGGCCATATTTGTCGAACTCATCGTCTACAACCCGAACGCCAACCTGTTCTCTGTGGTCAGCCTTCTGGCGGAATTCTCTAGTCTGGGGAAAGTTTACACGCACCACGAGGTGAAAGTTACTGTATAATGATCCACTTCGATAGCTAAAAACGACGATTACTTTGAAATGCATGATTTGAATTTGAATATCGTTATTGGAGGACTTCCGATGCAACAAACATATTTTTTTACCTCCATGAAAAATTAAGGTATTATTTTTTATATCTGTGTGTGTGTGTGTTTTGTGTGTGTGTGTGTGTGTGTGTGTGCGTGTGTGCATGCGTGTTTCTGCAGCTTGTAATGGATATGTTGGGTTCAGTTTATCCCAAAGTGAGAATGCCATTAATCGTGTCTACATCTGGTCAGCATGGCATGTGTTCGCTAGTTGCCTCTACTTGACAACTGAGCTAACACTGTAACAATGGTCTCATTGTACTTTATCATCTAGATAGCAACAGTTCGACTTTACTTGTACCAGACCACGTGGAGCTACGCTGTTCTCGCCTTCCAGATTATGTTCGTCTTCGTCACTTTTGTGTTTGCCTACAGAGAAGGTATTGGGAAATACTTTCTCTTACTCTTTTGTCATCCCCAATCGAGGTGAAACATATTTTACCTAGGATAATCCCTGTTACATTTAGATACATGTGTCAGCATCAGATGTTTACTCAACAAAATGAAATGCACGTTTTATTTTGTCTATATTGTATTGATTTATGTATTTTCATACGTAAATATGTTTCTAAGTAACGAAAGCAGAGAGAATGCACCGCTAGATAGCAAACACAGTATACATACTACTATCCAATGGCAATGGCATTATGCATATTAAGTCTTGGAAACGTTATAACTGGTCACAAGGTCACAAGCAGTGACAGGCAATACATTCATTCCCTGCAATATTTCACACTAGTGAACAGAATCCTGCTGATGGGGACGGATTACTTCCGTCTGTTTTGGAATCTGGTGGAGCTTTGCGTGTGCCTGCTGTCTTTGGCGCAGATTGGACTTCAACTGTACACCACGTACATTATCCTGGACTTCACCAATAAGGCTGGAAGGACCAATGACAGATCTTACAGGTAGGTGAAGGTATACTATCATTACATCAAATGGCTATTTTTGCGGATGCTGGCTGCAATCATCTGGGTTCGTTCCAAATTTATACAGAGAAATATTTTGGAGGTAGACAGAACATTTTCACTGACTTCGTTAACTGTACTATGTGCTCACCAGATAGCGATTACTTGAGATAATTTTATCTCATATAATTTGCTTGCTTCCTTTTTTTCAGTAAATACAAACAAGCCGCTAGCTGGGACCAGCTGAATACCTACGTGCAAGCCTGGCTCGTCTGTGCGGCCACCCTGAAATTGATGCACCTTTGTCGCTTCAACAAACACGTAGAAAGAAGCGCCATTACTTTAACCAGATCCACCAAACCCTTGCTGAACTACATGGTGATCTTCGTCATTACCGTATCGGCATTTTGCATGCTGACGTACCTTGTACTTGGTGCTTCGCTTGAAGGATACAGCCCGTACATAACCAATGTGGAAACGATGCTCGGGGTGATGCTTGGAGGCTTCGACTTCAATGCACTATCGGACGCTCACCATTTCCTCGGACCTGCCATTTTCTTTGGGTACCTGATGTTTGTCAACTTCCTCCTGCTGATGATGTTTTGTGCCATTCTGGACGTGGCGTATCACGAAGTCATAGAGGGTGAAAGCGAAGATGAAAAATCAAAGAATCAGAAGATTACAGAGCTAGGAATGGCAATAGCAGGTGATGCTTACCAAAGAACAAAAGATATGATAGAAAAATCCCTGGGCTGGCAGACACACACCAAGACTTTTCGTGGAAATACACCAGCGTACACAAAAGCGGAGCTGATGGAGGATCTCTTGCAAGCAAGAAGGAAGGCACTCTCGTTCATCAGGAGTAAGGATTCCCATGCGACAGAAACAGAAGGGAGCTACAAGGACCCAGCTTTTGATTCACACAATGGAACTTCGAATTCCACGAAGAAGACATCTAATTCGTTTTACGTAGAAAACGAAAGCATCCCTGGGTACGGATTGCGAAGTGATAGGATTTAGGTGGAAAACATAGGGCTGTATTATAACACTTCAGTCTGTGCTTCTTTGCGTTTAAATAAGGAAGGGAGGAAGGTATCTTAGCAATTACCCGTGTGTCTTAGCAATTACAACGGTCCAATACCTAGGTGATTGGTTGCGAGCTAACATTGGTGTTTTAGACTAATAAGTGGGTTCATAACACAAAAAGAATGTGGAAGGTGATATAGGTAAATGCTGACTAAACAATATTAAATCAATACATTTACGTTAAGAGATTTTATATGTTGCACATCGTTAAACTTTAAATCGTTAAACTTTATGATTAGCAGATTCTGCATTGTGTTAATGCACAGGAATGTTGCTAGTACAGATATATTTTTATATCAAAGAAACACTCTTGTTCGAGTATAGAATTTGTTAATATGCAGGTATATATAGGTGATCTATGTTTCAATTGTTTGAATCGAAAAAACTTGGGAGCCTACAGCTAGGTACAGATTTGCCCGATAAACTAATTGTACAAAAATTTTACATGTATACATGTAATTGTAAATAGGTGACTGGACGGCATATTGGGTGATTTTGATATGAAAGGCAAAGAAACAGTATTCAGGTGAGTATTGCTGCGTATTGTTGGTTTGTCTTCGATGAAATCTGAAGACCAAAACATGATGTCATTGAATCCGTTCTTGTATTTCTGCAGATGTATACAATGAAGCCTTTTCAGCTGCCCAGAGAAGTAGGATCCAGCAAGCTATAGCTAGTGTGACGTCTGAACGGCAACCGACCTTTCTAATTATTTTATCGACAATGTTCTACTTCTTTGTTTTTATTTATATACATAACTGTTATATTTCAAGCAGACTAAACAATCATCTCTGTAATTCCTTCATTTAACGCTACAAAATCCATATTTGTTTTTTTCTGTATCATTATGTATTATTTTGTATCTACTATATTTTTTGTACAATGGATTCCTGTATTGTGAATGAAATAATAAAGTTTTAAAAACAGATATACATGTGTATTTGTAATTAATGCAGTTTTTGTCAAATCGTTATGAATGCATCAAAATGAAAACAGGAAAATTTAATAGTATGTCGCTCTCATGCAAACAATTCGTGCAAGTGATACAAATGGCGTGATATAAACAATGATAAGCAAAATATATAGCCAGTTCTAAAATAAACTTATTTATACTAAATATTGTTTCTTTTATCATTGTTACAATGTATATTGGAATTAACTCAATTCGATCACAAGCTTGTAGGCTCGAATGAGAAATGAAGCCGTTATATTGAGTATTAGTACTATAACGTTATTTCCTTAACAGAGACAAAAGTGGTCATACAATTAATATCTTTAAATCAGTTGTGAATGTTGTATTTCTAAAATTTTCAATGATTAACTAGAATAGATATTTTGCTCCTAATTCGAATGTTGATGAGGAGAATCATTAGGTAAATCTCAATGCTACTTGATTGGCGCAAAATATCAAAATAGCGCAAACTAGTAGTTACGTTGATAAAGAAGCTCCTGGCACAGTAAACCACACAGGCCATCACACATATCTACAAAACTATGACCTCGACCAGCGGTTTTACCGCGTCACTCCGTGGGTCATCAGGTTTGGTTGCCAGGTAATCATACACCAAGCGAAGTGCATGACGGGAGTAAAAAATCAAAATGGCGGACATCTACTCGAAAAATCGACTGAGTATGAAGAAAATTTAGTGTTTTCACCCAGAAACAACGCATATTTGGCCTAAAAAAGGTAAGGAATTTTCATAACATATTGTAGTTCCTTCTTAAATTATTCGCTACCTCGTGGTTGCCCTGTTTTACCCGCAAGCATAAGTTTGTTTTGTGTGTCCGGCTGAAATACCAGAAACAGATTTTATTGCAAAAATATGCCGTGAGAGTTCATGTAGTAAAATCAGTAATTTTTCATGGAAACAAACAAAGAAACAAAAGTCGACTTAATGTAAACTTCAGAGAAATGTTCCAAACATATTAAAGTTATGTCGTTAAGTAATTTAGCCATAGTAATATTTTGAGGTAATATTAAAGTTTATTACTGTTAACTAACATGACTACTCAAATCAGAATTTAAGCCAGCTCCGTTTATCGTACCACATAATCGGGTGAAAATATGAAATCTGTAAAGCTTGAGGAGAGAACGTATTTTCTAGGTCAAGTTCAGAATCAGATCTTCACATTGCAAATGGATCATACGTGTATGCATGTAGTGTAGCATGCAGCTGCCCTGAACTGGCTGAAGTGCTTTTGTCTTTGCAGCCTACCGTATCTTTCATGCTTGGTAGAGTGGTCAAAGTGATTGTCAAGACTCTTATGTAGTAAGAGCTACTTGGTCACTTGGTTACGTATGGTCAAGAGATATCAATTTACTTTAGAATCAGAGCAGACCAGTTTTATATGTAATGTAATGTAATGATGTGTCAATGCAGGAAAATGCAGGTAGCAAACAGTGAAAATATTATCTAGTGTTGGAAGACAAAATACTATAAATCATTTTTTGCAGTACTTTTGCGGTCACTTCTGTACCACGAATTTATCATTACTGCAAACAAATAATTCAGTGACATAAAAAAATGATAAATTCTTCTGCACCTGCCTCCACCGTGATTGAACATACATTTTGTATAGTTCCGCTAACATGTCCATTTTTCTCAGACCTCAATATATTGCTACTGCGATTTATTAAAGTGAGTTACAGCAAGTGGCTCTTTTCCTCGCCCGCTACTCCCGTGAGTGAATCATTGATCACACATCCTTGTGCACAGCCTGGTGAGTCAGGAGGATGAGCATGCGTGACCTGGCAGACCCAGGAGACGGGGCGTGGCTGGAGGCGGAGATTGAGCGGGAGTTAGCGCAGCTCTCACCGATCGACCCGGGGCTGGAGGAGGATGGAGAGGACAGTCTGGAGCAGGAGGACTTTCAGGTCAGCCTCTTTAAGTGATATTATTATGTAAGATTTTTGCACCAAAACTGTAAATATAGATAATTGAAATTTCTCATCTAGATTGTCATTTTCATGAACTTCCAGCACATTACTAGTGTCGCTATTTTGCTTTTCTGGTGACTCAGCACTGTATGAGAATAAGTTGTGCCAGGCCTGATGTATTTCTAGGACTAGGAGGCTCCTGAAAAGAATTTAAACTAGTAACAGTGGTTTTTGTCCGGGTATCTTTGACAGTTTTCCATCACATTTTTGCAGTGTAATGGCGTTGATCTTTTAGGCCATGTTGATTTGATTATATGGATGACATCCGCGCGCGCATGAATTTTCGGCCGTTTCCAAAAAAAAAAAAGTTTTCAACCATACTGTAAATCGTGCAAAACAGTTGCTAAATGAGCAAAAATATACCATAAGTTGCAAGGAAAACATTTAGAAACGATACCAATGTCGTAGAATGCCAAAATCAAAGGAAAAAAGACAAATATGTAAAGAAATAAATTCAGAGAGTAGATTATTCGCCATAACATATTCTGTGCCATTTGTTCAACCTTCATGACCACGTAGATGTCATAGTGAAAGCAACTTTTTTTTTTTGCAAAACTTTTTTTTTATTCGCACGCGCGCATCAGTTTTGGGGTTCCCAGAGGATGTCATCCATATAATCAAATCAACATGGCCTTACTCCCCAAATGTCAAATTATAAACCCAGGTAGACTTATAACACAAGAAAATGCGTAAAACAATGATGTTTAAAATAGTGAAAATCTTATAAAGATGATATCGCTCTAATGTTTCAACACATTAGGAAAGCCTAGATTATGATGAAGACGTGCCTGAGAGTCTAGCCGTGTACCTGGAGCGTGTACAGAGCCGTGCAGGGCTGGTGGAGGAAGGGCTGAAGGAGTGTGAAGATGTGATGCACCACACAGTCACTCATGCAGGTAAAACATCTCACAAGATTTAGAGGAGCAGCACATTTTCATATTTGCCTTATCTAGATTAGACTCAAGAAACCATTATAACTGATGATTACAAGAAAGTTCAAAATTTGGGCAATATGTACTCTTACAAGTACCTCAGTGACAGTTGATTTGGACCAAATGAAATTGTTCTCTTCCAAAAATGCTATCTAGACTTGTTCTCACCTTTGTTAAATTTTGACAGAAAGATTATAAGTGCCTTAAATTGCCACACTAAGTCAATCTGAACTGTCTCACATGATACATTAAGTCATGAGACAAAAGAACTCCAAGATGAGATCTGACTTTACAGTGTTGATGAAGAGACAGGATGCATCTCGAAAGATCCCCAGAGTAGCAAACTCTTTGTTGTGTGTATGGTTTAAAATTTTTGTCAAAAGTACACCAATATGATGTTTGTAACCCTGACCTTTAGAACCAGGTGCTGTGGTCCCCTTCACTTCCTCTGACCTGCTGGACCAGCTAGCTGCCAGTACAGGACAGAACCCTGCTGAACTCAAGAGGAGGGTGAGTGGTAGGGAAAATATGACTAGAAAAGTAGTAGAAGTACATGTACACTGGTCTGCTGAATAGTAATTTATTTCTAATACGTATACAAGAGTTTAAGAGTTTAAACTTGCTTCATAATGACTGCTACCACCTTGACACAGATGAACTTTCAAGTTGTTTGTACTCTAAGTAGGAGATGTTGGTTAATTTTCCTTCTGACTCTGCCAGGTGCTTGAGGAGATAGAAGCTGAAGAGCGTGATGATGATGATGAGCTGGGGATGCTGGATGAGAACAGTAACAGTGTGGAACAGGAGGAGGATGGGGGAGGGGGGCAGGCTGCAGTAACAGCAGGAACTGAGACAGGGGCAACAGCAGGGGCTATGGCTGGGGAACATGGTCAAACAGGTACGTTCTAGAGTAAGTGTTTTTTTAGTTTGATTAGGACCGAGACATTATGGTTTGCACATTGGTGCAGGTATGAGATCATAGAACTCTTGTTGTGCATGTGATGACTGCACAAAACATAGATGTATCTTATTATAATTAGGATACTAGTTTTCATGAAATCTCTTTAATTTGAAATGTCATGTCAGGCAACATGAAAGTGTATAATGATTTTTTATATTTTTTATATTTATATTTTTTATATTTTATATTTTTATATTTATATTTTTATATTTTTTATATTTTTTTTATAATGATTTTTTGTGATTTCTTAAAAGAAATCACAAAAAATGTATCATACTAATGTGTAATTCTACCTCCACCACACCCCAGGTGCTGTCATGCTGTACGGTGTGGATGACCTTGAGCGGCAGCTGACCCTGCAGCTGCGCAGGTTCCACCAGGAGCAGCAGGTGCAGCAGAGACAGCTGCAGGAACAGCTGCAGCGCAGGCGGCAGGAGGAGGAATGCTGGCAGCTGGAACAGGAGCAGCGCAGCAGACAGAGAGACGCAGAGTTCCACAGGCAGCAGGAGCAGCTGGAGAAACAGAAGCTGGTAATGTTGTTGATGCTGTTATTCCTGCATTGAGCCTTTTTGGCACCAAATTTGTACTAAGTAAAGGGTCGAAAGTCAGACAAAGGTTAAAGGCATCCGAATTGAATGCAATTTGAGCCTGGCAAGGCAAAAAAATTTGGATGAGGAAATCTTGTCAGTAGTACTGCCATTTTTAGTACATTTTTGTCATCATTTCATACTTAAGGGGTTTGAAATAGAATTTGAAATAGAATTATTTTGATACCACCTGAGTAAATAGCTAGAACTATGAGCTAACAGTATGAAACAAGCAACCGTTTTCCATTAGTGACGTTGAATTTTTGCCTCACAGACACCTGTATGCTATGTAACTATATGGGATTGGATGATTAAAATTACATTGTACCACTGTGACAGTAACCGTAAACAGTACTATAACATAAAAAAAAATTGACAAACAAAGTTTGAAAATTCAGTATTACTGCTACTTTGGGTGCATTTAAATTGCAACTTAAGGCAGTTCTTCAAAATGTTAAAGAGACACCTTTATAAAGGAAAGAGAGGAGGTAGGACAATTTTCAAGTAGTTAAATGCAATTATTTGCTTCGTATTACCTTATTTACCCTATTGTCAGGAGGGGCAGGCTAAGCTTGATGCTCAGCTGCAAGAGGAGGAGAGGAGGAAAGAGGAGTTGCTACGGCAACAGGAACAGCAGATACAGCAGCTGTCTCAACAAACAGCTGAGGAAAAGGCTGCCTTCTATAAAGAACAGGTACATTCTGGTTAATTTGTATGTCATCAACCTGAATCTGCTTGACTGTGAACATGACTATTTTTTATTTGCTAAGACAACCATGCATAGTCTTATAATGTTTATATTCCTATATTATAATAATACTTTGTACTGATTAATTTGTACAATATATAATGTGTTTTTAGGAACAGGAAAAGCAAAGGTTGGAGACCCAGAGGCAGAACGCTGCAGCAAGAATACAAGCTGCATTCAAGAGCTACAAGTGGGTTTACTTTCTCTATATTTTACTTCCTCTATGTTGTCTCCCAATCTTTCATTCTTAGCTGCAATATACAACTTGTAAAAGGACCTGGTGTTGGATTTTCTCTCAATATTCTATTTCTTTCTATGATGTTTATCAATTATATTTATCATGTCTTATTTTGTTGTCTGCTTAACTCATGCAGAGTGAGAAAAATCCATGGTCCAGTTTTGAATGAAAAAAGAGAAAACAGGAAAAAGTCTTGGGCTTTGAACAGGCAGCTGGAGATAGAGAAACACAAAAAGGATGAAGAGCTAAAACAAAGACTGGCTGAAAAAGAAAGAAAAAGGAAGGAAGATGAGCAGAGGCAAGAAGAGGAGAGGAAACAGAAGGAGGAGGAAGACAGAAGGAAAAAGGAACTGGAAGAGAAAGCAAAAATAGAGGAGGAAAGGAAAAGAAAGGAAGAAGAAAAGAGAAGGCTGGTGGAGGAAGAGAAAAAGAAACAAGAGGAAGAAGAGAGAAGAAAAAGGGAGGAAGAAGAAAGAAAAAGGGAGGAGGAGAGAAAGAGAAAAGATGAGGAAGAAAGGAAAAAGGAAGAGGAGAGAAAAAGAAAAGAGGAAGAAAGGAAAAAGCAGAAGGAAGAAAAAAGGAAATTGGAAGAGAAGAGAAGTGAAGAGGAAAGACAGAGACTAGAAGAGGAAAGAAAACAAAAAGAGGAAGCCCAGAGGAAAGAAAAAGAACGACTATGCAGAATACAAGACGAGGAAGAGAGAAGAAAATTAGAAGAGCAAGAAAAGAATAGGAGAGAGGAAGAACAAAAGAAAATGGAGGAAGCGGCAAGGATCAAACAGGAAGCTGAAGAGAGAGTCAAGACTAGAGAGAGTGAAGATGTAAAAACTAATACTCCTGAACAGGCACATAATAACTCTTTGGGCACACAGAAAAATTCCACAGACAATTCTCCTACAGAAGGAAGTGTACTTACACCACAGGATATGACAGCCATTGCTGACGACATTGATAGAAGACGTCTACAGTGGATGGAGTCATGTCGGCCGTGGAGTCAGCTGGCTGCAGAGTTGAAGCGCAGGAAGCCCAAGAAGGGTAGGAGGGGGGCCACCAAACCTGCTGCCTCTGCCAAGAACCTGCCAGAGCTGACTGATGAACAGTTACTGAAAGCATCAAAACCAGGAACACTACTGGACAAGGTAAAATAATTACTGAGTGACACTGTCATAATGTGTCACACTGTGTAATCTACAGAATGATATGATGTACGTTGCTATATCTCTACAAAATGTACATGTACATGTGCAGTGTATGAAGGAAATACATAGTACTGTCATCAAATTCTCAACACTTTAGGAAATGTTATATTATGCATACTAACAGCTGTTATTATTCTCCTGTCACTCCGTATCAGGTTGAGGAGGTGAATATTGAGGGACTGACAGGATGTAGTCTATCCAGACTGTCAGAGTGTCCAGGTCTCCTCTCTATCTCTGTAAACCAGTGTGATGCTCAGGTAAGTTTCTCTGTGTAGTGATTCTACAAGTCATTGGATTTTCTCAGCTACAATGTAACATTAATATTCTACATGTGACAGTTCCTGTTACAGTAGTAATGATATTGTGTAATTTAATGTATGGATTATTGTTAATTATTTGTTGTATTATCCTTAAAGAAATAATTATATTTTCACCCTGTTGCTCTGTAGTGTTATTGTCTAATTCCAATGATCAGCCAATGAGAATATTGATGAGAATGTAGGACTGGTATAATTGCTTTGCAGTTCTACCCTAAACAAAAAGCTCTTTTTTGTCATCTAATGCTTTTTCTGTTACCAGGTGTTGTATGGTGTCCAGAGGTTCACCAGACTACAGCACATTGACGTGAAGCAGAACCGGTTGAGTGTACTGGTTTGTTCCGGTTGCGCCAGCCTGAACTGCCTCCTGGCAGCACACAATCAGCTGTCCTCCATAAACGGGCTGGATGGGTGCAACAACCTACAGGTCCTTGACCTCAGCCACAACAAGATCACCAGAATAGGTCCGAGAGTCTTCACGTGTTTTGCTATAAAAAAAGTCAAAGAAAACTACTACATTTAATTCAGAAAACATATGAATATAGAAAGATACACAGGCGCAATATACATCATATACAATGCATTGAATTTCATTGTAATTGCTGTTTATGAAAAAAAATGATTAGAAATATAGGAATAGTAATTGAAAAAAAAAAGAAAAATCTACATTGAATGAAACTTTTGTTATTATTTTGGAATATTTGTATAAACTATAAGCTGCTAAAGGTAGGTAAGGTTGTAATAGAGTAGAAAATTTATACAGGTGTCAAATGCAGGTGAAACTGAATTATTGTATTTTCCTCCATCAGGTGGCCTGGACAGCTGTGTGCACCTGCAGCACCTGGATCTGTCTCACAACCAGCTGATCGGCCTGCGGGGGCTGCAGCTGGTCCCCACCCTGCTGCACCTGGATGTCTCCCACAACCACCTGCCAGCTGCGGAGCACCTGCAGGACTGCGCGCTGCTGCAGCACCTGAATCTGGCCAGCAACACACTGACTAAGGTGAGGAGACAAGTGGTACATGTGTGCCCCCTTGTGATCGTCAGAAGTTCTGCACCATGCCATTTGGCAGTTTACCAGTGATGTGCTTAACACATAATGTGTGGGGTATTGTGTGATTGTAATGCTTCTGTTTATACATCCACTCATGTTATACAATATATATATACTACCTACAAAATATTTGCAACCTTTGCAAGTGAAGAACCCAATGCACAATGAAAGGAGTACATTGTAGTATTATTGTTTTGTACTCTTCCAGCCCCCAAGTCTGAACAACCACGTCCTGCTGCGTAGCCTGGTGCTGGATGACAACAGCATCTCCAGCCTGGATGTGCTGTCCACGGCCTGGCTGCCTCTGCTGTCCCTGCTGTCAGTCAAACAGAACAGGTTAGTAACAGTCAATCTACCAATCAGTGCATTATCTTCATGTCTTCATTTATACATCCATCCATCTAATATCTGTTTATCTTCTATCCATTTATCTATCTATCAAGGACATGAATTTTGATAACACATGAACATATACTAGACTAAGTGTACATCCTTTCTGTTTAGCTGTCAAATAATTATTTGAAATCAAATTCTCATTTAATTGTCCTCTTTCTCACTCCTTATTAGTAGTACATGTACATGTACTTGTAATTCTTTGTACAAATTCCTTATATATTATATGTATGTTAATGTATTTTTTTCTTCAAACTGTATTAAGAGAAAATTGTATCTCATTCTGATTGATTCAAGTATCCATCGATGGTAATTTCAAGCTTAAGTATTAGAATTGCTGTGAGCAATATAATTATCGTCCCTTTTCTTTTAGTCTGACCCAAGTGAGCTCCTTGTGCCACCTGATACTGCTGGAGCACCTGGATGTCAGCTACAACCAGCTGGAGGATGTGGCAGGTGTAGCAGGTGGTGTGTCTGCCTGTGTCCGCTTACACACGCTAAATGTTGCAGGAAATCCACTGACCGAGGACAAAAGTTACAGGTGAACTTTCATTGACTATTATCAATTATAGCTACTTTTAGGCCTGGGACCAAGGGTGAGGCAGAATACACTGTGTTGTACAAACTTTTCAATGCGAACTGAGCCAAAATTTGGTGTCCCCAAACCAAAAAATGCAACAACATCAATTCCAACGTCCAAATCTGGTATTCAAAGCGGCGCATTCGGTCACACAAAATGCATTCAAATTATTCTATGGAACATTTGAAAGCCCCTGTGATATTTAGAACCCCATGTGGTACGGCTATATGTAGTTGTTACACGGGCTGGAATGCCTGTATTGAACGTTATCATGGACCAGGTATTTCATAAACAGACTAACATTACATGATTCCACCAGGTCAAATACATTGTATATCTGTCACCCTGAAAAAATGGTTCGAAACCAATCTCCAATGCAATGTCAGCCAGTAAGCTAAGACTGTTTTGTGTTACATGTACACCAGGTCTGACTTAGTGGCAGCTGTACCCAGCCTGTGCCAGCTGGACGGAGAAGAGGTTCAGCAGGAAAGTAGTATAGCAAGTGACACGGAACTCCCATTTGTGAGGATGTGCCTCGCCCAACGGACACAGCAGGACAACATGATGCACAGGCATGAGGCAGAACTCAAGTAAGACATTTTGAAACATAATTAATAATGTCAGATAGCTAGATACGAAAGCTAGCAATAGAGAATTATTCAAATTGGATACAATGCTGTTTCATGATATCCAAATTGTCACACACATCCAAACTTGCAGGATGAGTTAAAACTTTGTACTCTGAAATATGTTTTGCTGTATTTCAATTTCTATCATTTTCTTGGCAATGACTTTTTCAAAGATTTATTGCCCATTGTGCACAGTTACATCTTACTAGCAAAACCATGGCAAAATGTTCCCACCATTGATTTTACAACTTCGTAACAGGTCCTACCAGTAGATAATGAAAACTTTGCTGTAATCTGTATGATATAGCTGTCTAATGTAATTTTAAACCCAGGGATGCTAAACAATCAGGCGAGGTGAAACGATGTCTGGCTGTACAGCACGTACATCAAGAGGAGTGTTACCAGTTAGCCGTGGACCACAGATACGCTCACGAGTATGGAGAAATGGATTCTTCCGAGCCAGCTGTCTCAGAGAAAAAAGACACAGGAGGAAAGTTTTCTGATCAAAGGTCAAGTTCAGAACTCAGAACCGAGTCGACAAAGGAGGAGGAAGTACGGTTAGATAAAGTTGCACCAACATCAAATGTGGGCACTGATACTTCATCAGTTCCTAGAACTGCAGCAAAAGATGATACTCAGGAGGTTTCAAGAAAAGCTGTCAGTCCTTCAGATGGAAGATCATCTCCAGGAGTCAGTTCCTTACAGCAGGGCTACTCAGTGGTTTCAAAAAGGCAAGGAGATGCCAGTTTACAAAGGTACTAAACATGATATGTCAAGCAAAAATGAGATGATGGAAAAGTCATCCTGAATAATTTGCATGCAAGTCATATTTAATCCAAACAAGTCATTATTTAATTCAACTCCAAAATTTCATCCTGGCTAAAACATTGCAAACAATTCAACTCAATGAATTATATACTTGCCTGGCTCCTCAGTGTTGCAGCTACCAGGATCCAGTCTGTATGGAGAGGTTATAGTGTGAGGCGGGACATCAGACAACACACTCAGGACTGGCTGGCTGCTAACACCATACAGGAGGCTGCTACTAAAATACAGGTGAAGTACAGACATGTAACAAAAATAAGGTAGTGCAGAGACATGTACATTTATTTCATCATAAAATGGCTGAGAAGCCCATTCAGCTTGTAGAAGCTGCTTTCCAATAGAGCCCAGCATACATTTACACAGGACAAGACATGTTTACATTTAGTCAAGCAACAAAAGTCACACAAAATCTGATGGGTCAAAACAAAAGCATGTCCATAAATCAAAGACGTCATAAACATTCCAATGTCAAAACAATTATGTCAGTAATTTAGAATTGGACTGGATGTAGATTTTTGTGACTGAGACTAGATCCCCTAACCCCTGCTGCAGGCTGTGTGGAGAGGACACAGGCTGCGACTGCGGCTGAAGCGAGCGCTGCAGGCCGCCAGGTGGGAGGAGGAGGAGGAGGGTGATGATGATGATGATGAGTTTGGAGAGGTGGACCTGTCCTCGTTTGACCTCCAGGCAGCTGAGCTGGACCAGGCCTGGGCACCTCCACAGACACCCACCCTGCCTACAAGGTCTGGCACAGCAGTCTTTTCATAGGATTTTTATAGCAATAGCTGCATGTGACTTGTGTATTGGTCAATATACAGTGTAGAATGTAACATTATTTTGAGAAAATTGAAAGTGTGAATTGTGTATTGCCTATTGGTCAGTATAAATGCTAGAAATTCCACTAAACCTCGTAAAGCACATTCTCATCCCATACTACTGTGTAAGAGTAGATGAAATCTCATGACTTGTTCATGATCAGAAAATCCTACAGAAATATAATCATACTATTAGTTGAATGTTTGTTGGTGTTCATGTTTCTGCCTATCTCACCCTCTCCATGCAGGCACGCTGTTCTTGGTTCAGTGTCGTCCAAACAGGACAGAGCACAGGCCATGTGGGACACCCGTCAGGCATGGCAGGCAGCCCCCACCCCTCCCCCTCCCAGCCCCAAACACCCCCTCCCCCCTGTCAAACCCCCCAGCAGGGCAAGCAGTGCCTCCTCCCAACACCAACCTACCCCTCCAACTAGCAGGTAAGAAGCTACAAAAATTGAATTCATCCCCATAATGTTTCAACATCATTACCTGATTACCTGTTTTGCAAGAATAATAATCATGATCATGGTACAATTTATATTGTACTGAGAATGTACGCTGGTCCCTTGTGTCAATTTAGGTTCTTTTCCCTCTACACCATACTAGTATAGATACACCAGGTAGCTGCCACATTGAACATAAGAATGATAATTTGTTTAAACCTTTTGATTCAGCACAAGAGATTGAGCTAGTGTTTTCGACCAGTCAGTGAGACTTGTCACATGGCCTCTCTGAAGTGTGACGTCAACACTGGGTCAAAGGTATCTGGTACAGTTGAGTGATGGCTGCTGGGCCATGATGTAAATAGCCTCTTGCACCCCTCTCAGGAAGTAATCTTGCTTAAAATAAATTATCATTTGTGCAGACTTGGCAGTGTAGTCAGTACAAAGAGTGAACAGCTGACAGAAGAGTGGGGGTTCAAGTCTGGTACCACAGCGGAGCTCATGATGAAGAGAGCTCGCAGGATGAAGGCTCGCAAGAAGAAAACTTTGGGTCAGTCCAACTTGATACTGCTTTATTCAGACATTGTGTTCTTATAAACCTTCCATCTGTGCATGCCTACAGTGTGTCATAAAATTATGATTGGCCTAATCTTTTGTTTCAAAGTTGTTAAAGGCATCCATCTCAGTAGCAAGACAAAAATATTCTTGAGGAGGAAATATGTCTGATATTTACATGACTTGTATTGTAACCAGAAAATTTACTTTAAAAAATTAATGCAGTTTTGCTGTCCTATAAATTAAGTATAATTGCGTTGGTTGCTTTTAAAACAGCAGTCAAAGGATCCTGTTGGATTGTTCTGTCTTGAATAGATGTCTGACATGCCTTTCAGGTGAAATTTTGTGTGAAGTGAAGGTTCACAGCAGCTGATGTCTGATGTACAATAAAGGTAGCCTCAACCAAACTTGGGGAGGCGGCTGGAAAGAGTAGAAATCGGCCAAATAGAGAGATAAGCATGTCAAGGGAGATTGTCCGTTGAGAGAACATTTCGCCGCACCCCAAATGTTCTCTCAACGGACAAACTCCCTTGGCATGCTTATCTCTCTACTTAGCGGATTTCTACTCTTTCCAGCTGCCTCCCCAAGCCTGGTAGAGGCTACAATAAAGGTCTTTCATTCACTCTGATGTTTTCCATTCCCAGACCCCCATCAGAGGTTGGCCTTACAGCGTAAGCTTGCAGAGAAGGAGGCTCCGCCCACTGTCCGAGCCCCGCCCAGGAAACAGACCAACCGAGTCGACTACTTCAGAGGTGAGGAAACAATATATACGCCTCTATACTTGAAACACAACGCATCGAAAATTGCAGTTTTCTATAGCCCCAAGTGCTTACTTACAACCGTACAGCTACATGTATTTTCTACCCAATTTATACCTTTGATTTCCAGCTAAGGAAGCCATGCACCAGTTCCTAGAGTCAGCAGAGGCAGAGCTTGAGTGTGTACAGGAGGAACAGAGACAGAAGATGACTTACACCTGGGTCCACTCACAGGTGGGGCACCTGGACAGCTCACCCGAACACGACAGGTGAGACAAGGGAAATTCTGAATCACATTCAATTGGATAATTAAACTAAATTTCTTAGTACTGGTATTATTTTCAGAAAATTATTAGTAGCTGGATCAAATAAAAACTTGAAAAGCAGAATGTTATATAGCAAATTTGCCATTGAATTGCAGTTGTTTTTGGTGTTTTTACAACTTTTCATTTACTGTGTTTACAAGGTTGATGAGAAGAACAGGCAGCACAGGCACCCTGCCTCGTCTGGACCCAGAGATCATCGCAACTGGGAGGGTACAACTGGTGGTAAGGCCTCTTTCTATCATTTCAAACAACACTGAGTAAAGTTAGTACATGGCATGATGCAGCATTGCCATACATGTATATCCCCAGTGCTGGTATTTTTGTCTATAGAACTAGGATCTAAGATCATAATTATGGTAACTCACAAACCTCTATGGGTGATGGGGTGAAACGTCCCATCTCCGATTGCCTTGTGGTACATGCCACTGTCTTTCAGTTATCATGGACACTTAAACTAGTACTAGTATATGTAGTACATGTAGTATTAAAAATCCTGCAACTCAACATGCTAGAACTCCATTTGTAAACTATGTGCCCTCCTTCAGAGGACTCCTCCTACTACACAAATGGATGGACTGGAGCTGGAGTCTGTGGATGGAACATCTGCATCTGACCTACAGTCACACAGGGAGAGGAGACATTCTATAGAGGGGGACAGTCCCAGAGGTAGGTCTGTCACAAACAGTCCCATACATTTTTGAGAGGAAACACTCAATAGAGCCATATTATTAGAGGGGGACAGTCCCAGAGGTACATGTACAATGTAGGTCAGTGTCACAGTCACATGTAGAGAGGGAGGCACTCTATAGAGGGGGACAGTCCCAGAGGTAGGTCTGTCACAAAAATTCACACAGGGAGAGGAGACATTCTATAGAGGGACAGTCCCAGGGGTACAAAATGTACAATGTCATAAAGGGTCATATACAGTAGGTCTGTCACAAACAGTCCAATGTAGAGAGGAGACACTATAAAGGGGGACAGAGGTACATGTAGGTCTGTCACAAACAGTCCCATGTACATTGTAGAGAGCAGACACTATAGAGGGCACAGTGCCATAGTTAAGTCTGTGACAAAATGCTTCTATGTACAGTAGACACTCCATAGAGAGGGACCGTCCCAGAGGTACATGTAAATGTAGGTCTGTCACAAACAGTCCCATGTACATGTAGAGAGGAGACACTCTATAGAGGTAGACAGTTCCATAGTTAGGTCTGTCACAAATGCTCCCAACTGTAGAGAGGAAACACTCTATAGAGGGGGACAGTCCCAGAGGTAGGTCTGTCACAAACAGTCCCATACATGTAGAAAGGAAACACTTTATAGAGGGGGACAGTCCCAGAGGTAGGTCTGTCACAAACAGTCCCATACATGTAGAGAGGAAACACTTTATAGAGGGGGACAGTCCCAGAGTTAGGTCTGTCACAAATGCTTCTATGTAGAGTAGAGACTCTACAGAGGGGGGCAGTCCCATAGGTACATGCCTGTCAAAACTGCTTTCAAATGTAGAGAGGGAGACACTCTATAGAGGGGACAGTCCCAGAGGTACATGTAGGTCTGTCACAAACAGTCACATGTAGAGAGGGGAGAAGAGAGGAGTATGTTACAAAATCAACCACCCAATCAAAAGATAAACTGTTCTCTTTCTTCCATGCCAACAGAGACAGTGTTTGAACCGAGCCCACCCAAGACAAATTCAGCGCCGTCACAGAAGTTACGGGAGCGGTTGTCACGTCACAGCGGTGGGGACAGGAATGCAGGCTGGGGCCCAGGCAGACGGAAAATACAACTCTTCAAAATGTAGTTCAGCAATACATGTACATGAGCCCTGACATGTGATACATGTACATAGTATCACAATGTCATGTACAAGCACATTGGCAGAACGTACTGCGCCTGCGCAGAACCCTGTATTTTCGCGTTTTTAGTTGGATTTTTGGTCAACGTTGCATCAGAATTCTGCCTGTTGCAGAGGATATTCTTTCCGACACAACATGTGGAAACTACTGTCGAAATGCTAACCTTATATGAGACGTTCTGCCGAAGTGCTATGCACAATACATTACGGGTTTCGCGCAGGTGCAGTGCGTTCTGCCAACGTGCTTCATGTACATAGTATATACATGACAACAACTGCTTAAAAAGCAAAATCAATCCATCAGTTTCCTGTAGTAATACACACTACTTGAGGTAACTGTGGAAGACCATGATGTAATATTGAGCTAATAGGAGTTAATTCTGAAGCAGGCATTTATATGTTGTACATAATTGTACTATCTCCTGAGAACACTTGTATTGTAAGTATATTATGGGTGAATTATGTTTGTTGCACATGATTGACATATCAGGGGTTGATTTTGGAAATTGTATCAGATGTTGAATTCATACACATATCCAACAACCATATGTATACTTAATAAGTCTGTGAAAGTACTTTAAATTGGTGAAGATGAAAAGGACTTTGAAATTGTTGCAAACATGCTAGTCTGTCATCTGTGTTCAGCATTAAGTCAAGTCGAATGTTTGTGTATGTATGATCATGACAGCATTATTTTTTATTGGAATGTGGCACTTTTCAATATTTCAAACATCTAAAGAAGAGCTGTAACAGATGCCCTGGTGTCCATGGTACTATCCTGGCAAACATTTTAATAAACTTTTTTTAGAGATGTTGGCCAAAGATAGACTCAGAGGGAGAGAAAAAGGTATGACCTTGTGTCTTGCCTGGGATGGATATGAAAATGAAGTAAGTTTAAGTTTACAGCATTGTGAATTCTGAACTCTACTCTACTTGCTGCTACACTTAACCTGCACTGTGTACATGTATTTGTTTTTATGCTGCTACAATGTCATGTAAATACACTGGGTTTAGCACAATTTATGAAAATTAAATGCAACTGCAAGTAAAAGAGAACTAGCCTACCAAATTGCTTTTAGTGTGTACAGTAGACTACACTGTGTCGGTGTATACAATAGACTGTTATTAGTGACTGTTCGTCCATTTTTATGGGGTAAGCGACTGTCGTCAGTGAAGCCTGGAGGTCTGAAGAAAACATCAAATCTTTCCAACATCTGCTTGGAGGCATCCGACGTGACCAATCCGGCCTTTTGTTATAATAATCATTTGGATACTAGACCCTACAATGACACAGCATAAGGGCATAGGATAATACCTATAGCTACAGCCTTCCTAATGACTCATAGACTGTTCAATTATTTTGCAACCTGAAATCATCACTTATTACCTAATAGTTGACTACAAAATGCACCCCCACCGCTTCAGTACTAGTGCTCTCACAATTCGGTACAATACCGTGGTGAACCTTAAGAGAATGCACTGAGAGACACTTAATTGCAGCGCACTGATTTTAAGCGTCCAAAATTTCACAACAATCAGCTATGGGCTGTTGAGAGAGGATGTTGTGTACGCCGCAGGTCAGTAGGGCAATATGTACATGTAGTAAAGTGTAGTGATTCGACCTTGGACAATGTGTACCTTTCGTCACAGGTGGTGTTTTTGCCCCGATTCCAAAGTCCAAAACGCACAGTTGGTGTAAACAAGTTGGTCTAAAAACACCGGTGCATTTAGCTTCTGAATCAACACATTCAACAACACCGTATGTACGCGTTTGGCGCGATGTCGCCAAGCTTCGCGCCCCATCTCTTGGAGTGTTCAGGTTAGCGATTCCAAAGTTCGTATTCCAAGGACAAGAGTGCTGAGAGACAAGACTTGCGGGTCAGTTTAATCTGTTATTGGCGAATAACTGCCGGTTTCGCACTGATAGCGAGTGTTTGCATGTTGTTATTTTTCTCCATCAACTCTGTGGATGAAACAGCCCAAGTGTTGTTGAGAGGCGCCTGCTGAAAAATGGCTGGAATCACGGGTTTTGTGCTGGGAATGGTGCGGCTGTACGTGTCCTTACTGGTGTTCGCTACGGTGTGCGTGGTGACGGCGGGAGTTCTCAACCTGGTGCGGCTTTCGGCGCACTTCTTCCGCGTGCCCGAGCACCAGGCCCGGCGGAGGAGAGCTCGGAGGGAGAGCTACCGGGCCCGGCGGAGTCTCCGGCAGAGGCAGGTGTCCAGGACAAACAGCGACGAGTCCACAGAGGTGTCAGAAGCGGTGGAGTTGGACTCGGAGTTTGAGGTACTGACGCAGCCCGAGTTAGCGTCACCTCCGAGTTAGCGTCATCCTCAGTCGTGAAAATGCGTGACCCACAGTCATTGCGCTGCCTAGGACTACGTCTTCTGAGGAAAAAAGACTGTAAAAAAAGACAGATATAAAATGTACCGACTGTTCTATCTTCCAGACAGATTTGTCGATTTAATAGACTTAGGACTTGTAAAACGTCCTTGGATAGAACAGACAGAGAGGACTTAGTGACCGAACATGAAGACCAGGTTGTACGATGCCTGTGCTAACTAATGTTGGTTGTGATGACAAACTGAAAAGTGAATAGAGTAATCTGGCGTCCAAATTAAACTGTTGCCAGGTACCAGCACCGGGCCTGTTAACATGCCGCAACGTTGGCAGGCAAAACTTCCCATCGGGGTGTGCTTATTAGTTCGGCCGGCGGCGATAGAAGGTTACAATGCCGAGAATGTCAAGCCCGAATCCCTGAAAGAGACTGGGCCCCAGGCTAAAGGATCGGATGAGACTGACGTCGCATATACGTGAAAAATGTTTTTAAGATAGTAGTAACATCGTGATGTATTTATGATGCTTCGGGTCGACTGAACCGGATGGTGAGCGTTGCCAAAAACAAGCAACGAGACCTACACGCACTGGGTGCTACATGTACATGTATCCTTGAACTCGAGCTCGTGAGTCCAGGACAAAGAGTCGACTTGTATATGAATGTCACTTAGAAAATTCATGCCTTTTGTTTGAGCCGTATGACATTGATGTACATATGTGTGTAGAAGCCAGCATGGACACTGTATCATACCAAAGTTATTGTTTGCATGTATGGAATTGTCCTCTGTGATTTCAGTGTTGTATCAACATGTTACCGGACTACCTTCTGCATGGCTGTATATTATATGTTTAACTTCTTTATTGCAAGTTATAATATGGAAAACTATGAACAATGCATTATGGATGTAGTAAGTCTTGATATAGATAGCATTTGCTGCTGATATGATGAAGTTAAAAGGACATATTTACAGCTGAAAGTTTGTACAATGTTAATCACTAAGAATCTGTGGCATTATAAACGACCTTTGCCCTACACGTAGCTGCTACTCCCTGAATTAAACTAAAAAACAAAGTCCGGAGTAAAGACCGCTTTTATGTTGACATTACGCATTTCGTCACAAACGGACGCAATGTTAGAATTTGGCTACATGAAGACCGAACGTCTAATTACCCTGCCAGCCCCAATATGAGCACGCTAGGACCACAGATTAGGTAGCGTACCGACTACTATCACGACCAAACTGAAGGGGGGGGGGGCTGTAGACTGTTTCCAGGGCCCACACAGACCAGTTAACGTTCCCCGGCTACAGAGCCAACATGTGTAGGCCCTGGAAATAGTCTAGCACCCAGGCTACACGGTGCAGCACAATGTAGCAAGGCGGTATTGTGTTTTAAATGAAGGGTGTTCTGAATGGATTATATTCTCCAAGGCTACTAGCAGGCAATAATTTCAGATATTTTGTTCAACCCTTTCGTTACAATAGACGTTAAAAGAAATTGTATTGGTATCCACTTTGAATTAAGTCGTCTTTCTGATACATGACTTAAAGCTCTTATGATAGCTGAAGGTCAGATTCTTTCTCATGAGGATAATCAGGCCACATGCACTCCCCCCCCCTCCCCCCAAGACGACTCTACCTTTGCCCTTTCTGCACGGACATGGACATGCCCAACGTTACAGGCGGTGGTAATTTTCTTCTTTTATCGCCCTCAAATGAGGTGAAACATGAAGATATGACCACGATAAACCGACCTGTATGTTACAAATAACTGATTCAATTACACCATTGTGGCAAGGGGGTCTTGTGGTCAAGTTAGAGCTGCTGACAGGGAATCTCAAGTTTCTGCCCAAAAATGGCATAAAGTTAAAAAAAACTGTGGACTTTTGAACGCACGGCATGTAGCTAATTGCGGCTTTTGAGTGACATGTCCTTCATGATCATCTCATTTGCCTTCTGGCATTTGGTATTGTTGAGGGGCGACACATTATGAAGGTTGGTCTTCGTCCATTACCTCAGAAAAGTACAGAGACCGGAGGCATTATTTGAATACAAAATTACGCTTCAGGAAAACTCTAAGATCGCTAATGCAAATCGCTTGGCAAACGAGGATGTTCTGAACAGTGCTGAACAAGTGATATGATGGGAGGACAGACAAATGGTTAGGGACGGGGACAAAGTGGCACAAGACCCCATAGGGACAAGGCGCAGTCCTTGCCGTGTGAGGTGAGGTCAACGTACCCAATTAAGTACAACAAAGGTGTCTTCAGAAAAGTGAGTGATGTGTCCTTGCTCCTGTCATGTGTTCTTTTGTATAGCTGAGCAGATAACTTAGCTGAAAAGAATTTTCGCAGAAACCAATTATTTTATTACTTCCACTGTGGTGAAGTCACGGTTACATGAGGTTAAAAAGGACGCCAAGGTAGAATCCTAGCCTGTGTTACACAAGCTCTCGGCCGGAGGTTAATGACTCCCGCCAACTTCGGGGCGGCCGGCCGCCAGGAGCGCGATTAGTCAGGCTAGGTAGAATCCTACGTAATGCAAATTCAAAAACCGAACAACAGGATGCGTGAGTGAGTGATCCAATTGTTTGACTTAATTGTGTGAGTTATACCTAGTACAAATGTATATAGCTGGGCAGACTTTAGGTCGGTCATGGCAAAACCTTGTC